GACAAGAAACCGCTCGACGTTTCCGATTACTTCAGCACTTACTAGACAAACGCTCTAAACTTCCCATTAATTACAAAAGACTCATATACTTGACAATAATAAGACCTATTTGGACTTACGGAGTTGAGCTATGGGGCTCCACTAAACCATCGAATTCCTCTCGCATCCAATCCTTACAATCCAAAATCCTTCGTAAAATCCTCAATGCTCCTTACTTTGTCACTAATAAAATTATCCATAAAGATCTTAATGTTCCTTATGTTTCAGATCTGGCCCAATCCAGATACCTATCCTTCCATAATAAACTTCAGAATCATCCCAACCCTCTCGTTTCTAAATTTGCTTCCTCTTCAATTCCTGATAACCCTCCGAGGCGTCTGAAAAGAAGATGGCCCCGTGATCTTTTAATGTAGTCATATCATTAGAGTGCTACCATTGGGTAGTTACTCAGCAAGTGTATTCATGTCATTATATCAATTATGTCCAAATTTACTTGATGTATTTATGTAATACAGTTGTAAATGTCATAAAGAAATAAAAAAAAAAATCGTAAATTTACACGTTTTTTCTTTTTTTTATGAGATGCCTAAAAAAAAAAATTGAAATTTTCATTAGTTTGGAAAATACTAAAAAAAAAAATGTTTTCCTTTTTTTGCTCTATTAGGTAATTAAATCCTCTTCACTAAATCCTCAGGTCAAAGTTCATATGAAGGAAATATAAAAATTTTGCCTGGAAGAACAAAATACCGACTTAGTTAAATTTTGACCACTGTGCGGCCTATTGGCGCCAAAAATCGTATTATTGAAAAAAATTACCGTTCACAATTGGCATTAAATTAAAGGCAGCGACCTGAACATTCACCGGCAGGAAGGGGAGTAAATTTAATTTTTTGGTTTTTAACCTTTTCTTTAAAAAAAAAAACGTAGATAAATTGTCATCTTATGATATTATACCGGTGTATTGAGTAGCTTAAAGTCAAAAGAATTTTTTTTTTTAAATTGTCTTGACCTTTTTTTGTTTTATTGAGAGATATTACAATCTGTCACAGTTAAGGACACTTATAATAGAGTTCAGAGAGTACATTCATACCGTATAAACAGAAAAATAAATAAATAAAGTAATAACAAAAGAATAAGAAAAAAGAACAAAAGAGAAAAGAAAAATAAATAATATATATATATACATATATAATATGTGTATACGGTATGAATGTACTCCGCATATATATATATATATATATATATATATATAATATATATATATATATATATATATATATATATATATATATATATATATATATATATATATATATAATATACATATAATATACATATATAATATACACATAAGTAAGTAAAAATAGAAATAAAAGTAAAACAATCATCTTAGATACAAAAACACCTATATACACTATTTACAATTAGCCAGGTGATCTCCGAACCAATCTTGTCCCCCCAAATGTGGAGGGAAAAGCGAGGCTTAGGAGATCCCTACGCTTATCCCTCAGCCACTTCACTGGTATTTAAAACCAGCGGAGAATGATTAAGAGCGCTACAGCCACTGTCTTGAACTAAAAATAAATTTTCGCTCACAAAATTCTGTCGCCCGAAGCAAGTGCTTCATTAATACACTTAATTTCGGCCTTATCATGTATGTACGAAATTAAAGCGATTCAGCCCCTTGGTCTAATATGGAATCATTATTGTACTTAGTTCCCAATCGACTTAAATTATGAATACCTCACAGGTTCATCTTGTCGCTATAAAATAATAAACCAGTTAACTTTGGTGTGTTTTAAAACATAGTGTAACATGACAACCAATGGTTACAGTTGTTTATGTAACAGGTGATAGCGAATAGGCACTTGCCTTTCGTTCTCGCACAGCGTACTTGTTTTGCAGTGCCTACAGTAGCATTGCCGTAATGCTATTGGGAATACCTAAGAAAATAGCTTGATAAGTCCAATCGCTTTCTGTCGTATCGTACCGGAGATAATATCTCCTTTTGGACCTAGTCTACCATGGATAGTTTTGGACCTATTTTTGGATATCCTCACGTTCGCGATCATCCTCTATCATCTATACATCGGAGTAGAGAGATTGATGTTCAAATTACTTTGCAACATCGGTAAACCGAGATATTATAGCCAATTGTATGTGCTGCCAGATTGGACTTAGATTAAGTAATTATTTTTAATTTTTTTTTTATATCTTCTTGTTTGTTATACTCATATATGTACACATCCTGTTTATAATTAAGTAAAGATTAAAGGAACATTTTTTTTTGGTTGTCCTGGAAGTGTCTCCTATTATATTTAATTTATTTTTATATTATATATTCCTTTTTTTCATATCTAACTTATGACATTGGAATTATATACACTATTATTGTTAATCTTGTCATACTAAGAATCGGAATTTGATTTGGAAAATAAATTCTTAACCAAAATGCAAGGTAAATGTAGCCACGAGAATACCGCATATATTTGTTTTATCATGTTGTTTTATTCCGGGGTAAACAATATTAATGAGTGACTCGGTGCTTATTTTGTTTTGTTTTGATTGTACTCTTATTGCCTTGTTATCTTCCATCATGTAAATTAGTAGCTGTTATGATTTCAGTGTAAGAGAATAGATTCACAATTTTGTGTAAAAAGGATCTGGATTATTGTTTTATTATGTTTTTTTTTTATAGTTCTAAGTTTATAAATAGAATATTTTTTATGATCTGTGAAGAACCAGAACAAGAGAGGAGCGAAGGAGAACTCGTGGTCGGCAGAATTTAGAGGGCGGATAATTTCTTACGATGTTTTTTTTATCTTATGTAAAAATTATTTATTTCTGCTTTTTGGTATTTTTGACCATAGTTGTGTCAATAATACGGGTTATTGATATGTATTAAAAATCAGATGGATAGATTGAATCAAGAAAGGTTCTGCAGAGCTAGAGGCAAGAAACTGGAAAGTAATATTCAAAGATGGAGCTGGAAAAGGTTGAAGGTGATAAAAAATCTACAAGATCCGTAAAGCCAATAGAAAAATAAAAATTATGTTTATACCAGTAAAAAACAAAGTGAAATAGTTATCATTTTAATGGTTTTGTACTAATCTATTGCAGTACAAAAATTATATTTACTGGTAAGTTTTAGTATTTTTTTTCTGAGTGAAACACGATTGGCTTTATGTTTATAAAGGATTTCAATAAATTGATAGTTTCCCCTCTTAGTTGATAGGGGTTTTAGTTTTAGATACCTTCTAACCTAATTTTTAGGTTTGATAAAGAAACTTTTTTTTAACAAAATAGCTAAAATTGTCGACAATTTATGGAAAAAAATTCTTTACAAGTTCGATGTGTATGTTGGAATAATTTTGATCACGTTTTAATCGCTTCAGTCACTTTTCTCCCTTTAGAGACAATGAAGTGAGAGAAGAGGCAAAATCTCCAGTTTTCCTGGAGTTGACAAGATAAGAATTGACTGAAAACTATTTGCAAACTGTATTTAGTTTTTATACACCTTATAAAAGAAACATCTCCCATTGGACTTATGTACAAAGTTTTTTAAGTTAAAAAAAAAATTAATTTTATTTAGAAAAACACTTTGAACTTGATTATTATACATAATGTAGTATAAATATAAAACAAAACTTATGTTGCTCTACATATTAAAAATCTATGTTTTATGCTCTTTGGCATGGGTTGATGCATTTTTGAAATAAATAAAACAAAGCCAGGATCGATTCTGGTTGAAACAATCATTGAAATATCCATAGAATATGCCTTAGAAAAAAATAAAGACAGATTGTAAATCATATCACAGAATAATTGGCAACAAAAATAATGTAAATTAAAACGAAATTAAAAGTCACTGTTCCAAACGAAAAAGTTCTTACCAACTCTCTAGTAAAGAAATAACAATCTCAGCCTAGCAAGGATTTTTACATAGCTATTTACAAGGCATGCTTCTTATTCATAAGAAGACTTGAACCTCTGATTCTGAGTAGTGTAATGTTCAAAGAACAAGGCTTCTCTTTATTCAAAATCATATGGGAAAAATTGGATCTGTTCCCAAAGCTGAAGGAAGACTAAGCCAAAGGAAAAAAGGGTTAAAACACTTGAATTTTTGAAAATAGTGAGAGTTGAAGGCAAAAAATATTTTAAGCTCTACAGGATTTGTTATGAAACTTTTATTTAGTAATTATGATTAAATTTATATATTTTAAAGTCATTTTGTACAAAAAAGTCTGATGCGTGCAATACACAACTTTCACTTACTGCTCTGATTTGAATAGAAATTATTTTCTGGCAATGTTGGACTATTATATAATTGTTTGGCTATTATAAACGGAGCTAAAGCTTAAAGCTTACAGATAAATTATTAAGATAATTAAAATAATAAAAACTATATTTTTTATATCGACGGTCGGCAATAAAAATCTAGTCACTCCATCTAATTTTTTAAGCCACATAATTTCAGTCTCTGAGCTATGTGTGTCTTTCAGTTAACAGAATGACTATCTCCAATTTCAACATTTTCGATTAATGTCATTTTAATGATATTTCTAATTGGGAAAGTTATATCTATACAGACAGTGAGTAAGTTGATTCCAGAGTAGGTAATAACTGTGAATAAAGGTATAAACGTCACCACTAGAAACATCACTAACGTTAATAATAAAGAATGTTGAAAATGGAGTTAGTCATTCCATCATTAGAAAGGCTCATAAAGGACTAGAGAGATTTGAAAGTATATCTGAATATTTAAACTATAAATGATTATCGATTGTATGACTAATGGTTATTAAACTGTTATTTTCCATTGTGAAGTTTACTAAAATAACTTTATGAGATTTTCATTGTCTGCCATGGATAGGTCAAAAGTTGTCACACTGATTGTAAGTGGATAAGCAACTTATATTGGAAGGACAGGTACCTATTTCAGGCCTTTTAGTTGAGCACAATAACTTCTGTTCCAAAAGAGGAAAATAAAATGAACATTTAAATTGAAATAATTTATTAACAAGAGTATAAATTGATTTTACAAATATTAACAGTATTTATAAAGAATTTATTTAATTATAAAAACCAATATATTGAAATAAATATTAAAATAAAAATCATGGAATGGCACGCAGGTGTTTTCTCATTATCTTCATACTGTGTGTTTTTGGTAGAGATTCAACAAACCTAACACCTCCTCTTAGCCACTTATAATGGGAAAGTTCTCCTGGAACAAAAAAATTAAAAGAGAGATAAGTTATAGTGAACACACAAGTTATGGACTAGGGGCCCAGTAATGGACAGGTTGGACTTTAAATGTAAATAATAAGCTTTCTTGTTGATTTAAAGGTTCCAGTTTTTTCTAGATCGAACAACAATGCCCTCTGTTGATGACTGTATGAACAAAGTTCACAAAAGAAAATTTTAAAATGCCTATCATTGTTTCTACAGTGCTCTTGAGATCAGTGTGTTTCATACTTCCCTACTAGCAGTTTTGCTAGGAGTAAGTTTAACATTAAATAAAGATTTTAGAATTTTTCTGAGGTATGTCCATTACTGGTACCGACCCCCTGTCCATTACTAGAGGAATTAAATTTCGAGGTGCCCATCACTAGTACAAAAAGGTGTTTTTTTTTAAATTGAGATTACACATGCATAACTGAATATTTTTTAAATTTTAAAGTGTTAAGTAGAACAAGGACACCCTAGAGATTCTAAATGACCAATGGAGAAGTTTATAACTATAATAATTACGGCGGTATAAGCCAAAAAAGACAATAACTCCCTTAGCTTTGTCCAATACTGGTGTGCTTACCCTAAATTATAATATAATTAAAGGAATTACTCTATTAAAAAATAGAAACTACTTTACTTTTTATATTGGGAGTTCATGGATACGAACACTTTTTAAATTTATTATTATTCAACATTATTATAAATGAAAGCTGGATGATATCGGGACCAATAATTAATGATACCAAGGTTAGGTCCAACAAACCTACTTTTGTGTTTTTTAAATAAGACACTTTTTTCTTGAAAAAAAAAAGTGATAACTAAAAAAGCACTTGATTTAGATAAATAACAATTATTTCATTCTAAACTAGAAAAAATTTCAATGCAATTAGAGTTTATCTTTGTATAAACCATTTAAAGAGGATTTTTTAAGTGGGGAAACTATGGTAAATTCTATCCTTCATTAAATCATGAATATTTTTTTATCACCATTCAGCTGGATTATAGAAATACTAATTTTAGTAAAATTCCTTTTTTTAATTAGCTTTACGTCCATATTAATTAAACTGTTTGTTACTTCACCTCACTTTATATTATATTGAGATTCACCTCTAGTTATATAAAAGAATTATGTGATTTAATCTTTTGTTTCTCAAACTACTTGTTTGATCAAAAATAGCAAGATACTGTTTTTTCAAAAATCTTCATGTCATCTATCAAATAAATGTTCCTAATACTAATTTATGCGTTTCCAGTTGGATAAGTGCAATGAAATAAGTATTTTATATTGGTAACATGTTATAATATTTTTGATCTCTATGATAAAATCATGATATTTATCATATTATTTATATTGGTTCTACAATAGTACATTGAAACTTACGTTTTATTGCCTCCTCAATTTCTGTTTTTGAGGGTTTTTCTTTTTCATCTGGTACAATATAAGCCCGTGGTACTTCTCCGTAAGCCTCGTGCGGAATCCCAACAACAGCGACCTCAGAAACTCCAGACTGTTCACTAATTATCTGTTCTAATTCAGTAACAGATACCTGAAATCATAACAAATTTGTTAGATTTATCTAACTGGTGTATTATAATAAATAAAACTATAAATGCCATTCATGCTATCTCCTTAAAAAATTTCAGCTTTTGTTCATTTATTCAAGAGTAAGATCTATTATTTATGATATATTCAAGAAGCTTTAGAATTAGAGCGTTTGGTAGTATTTCAAATAAAGTATTTTAAAATACAAAATAAAATACATTTTTTAATATTTTGTATTTTAAAGAGTAAAATATTAAATACATTGATTGTAACTGTATTTTCTTTTTAAAGTAAAATAAAGGATTTGTATGTTATGCCCAAGATACTGAAATATTGAAAATGTGTTTTATTTTGTATTTTAAATATACAAAATAAATTAATAAATAGAGTAGATGCTCAGTATTGTATGCTAATCATCCACCAGAAAATATTTTGTAATTAAAATACAAAATACTTTTAGTATTTTGTATTTCAAATACATTTTCTGAAAATAATTTAAATATTTGTAATTAAAATATATTATATTTTAAAACACAAAATACATGGTATTTTAAAATAGATTTTGCTCAGGTCTGATTTGAACTAACTGTGGTTAATGATTTATTTATGGAGATATATTGAGCTAATAGTTTTATTGTTCATATTTATTTCTCAAGATAATATTACTTAATATTATTTAAATGACATTTTAAACATGATTTTGTATGTAATATTTACCTGATAACCCAAGAATTTAATGATATCCTTTATTCTATCCACTATATACATGTAGCCATCTTCATCTATCCATGCTAAATCCCCAGTTTTTAACCATTTCTCATTGGTAAAGCTCTCTTCAGTAGCTTCCGGGTTGCCATAATAACTTGGCATTATCAAAGGACCCTTGAGGCATAGTTCTCCCCTCTGACCACTTTTTAATTCTTCTCCATTATTTCCAATTATCTGTTTTAAATCATAAATATCTAATAATCATTAAAACACAGTGATTAATAAAATAATTATGTCCTATTTTCCTAATTTAAATGTTTCTGTATGATATAGTGCATGTTGACATTTAGCATTATTATTGTTATATTGGTATACGTCATGGTTTAGAGAATTTATCATACAGGGGGTCCTGTAAATATTGAGATATACTTAAGGAGAAGATAGTCGGATTCATCATAGAATAGCAGGAAATTTCTTATTATTTTTTTTTTTTAAGTAAGTCAATTTTGTTTTATTTAATTACTTCATAACGAAATTTTCTTCAAATGCAAGTAGAATTCTTCTTGTTTACTACTATTTTAAAGTTTTTAACTAGCTAAAAATAATTACTTATGTTTTTCATAAAATCATGGATTAGTCATTTTTTTTTTTTTAAGATACAGATACCCTTCCTCCATAATAAGAAGAAAAGTTTTGAATTGGTTTATTGTAATTATTTTTGCTTGAAACACTGTTATGCTACTGAAATATACTGGTGAGGAAACAGAATTTCATATCATTAAGGGATGGGTATCTCATAAAGGATTCTTAAAGATAGTGGGAAGGAAAAGTTCCCTATCCCTCAATATAGTAATAACAATTATTTTTTATTATCTAATTTTGACTTTTATTATATATCTTTTCACACTTATTTATTTGACTTTAGGTCAATTTAATAAGTAATCCAAACCAGTTTTTGATCACTATTTATTAATGAACCTTGCATTACAAAAAGATTCCCTTGTCTCCCTCGTCAGCAATTAAAATAATACAATTAATATATTATACACTGTATCATGAATTTGTCATTTTTAACATATATCCTCAAAATTGGGTGTCACAGTCATTAATAATAAGGTTGGTCTATGGCTGTAGTACAACTAAAAATATTAAATTGAATATTTAATAGTTGACCGTTGCATTATAAAGGAAGGAGATGGTCCGGGGTATATCCCTATCCTCTCAGACAATATACAAAAATTCCTAAAATCGACTATAACCAACTTACGCCTTGGCCTTAAGTCCCATAACAAACTTTCTTCCCTTTTCACCAACTTGAAGGATCCCATATTCTTACAACACCGATCCAATGTTGTTTATATAACTATAACTTCCTCTACTCCTAATTGCAATAGCTCCTATATTGGTGAAACCAAAAACTATCTCAAAACCCGCATTTCCCAACATAAAACGTCCATAACTTCCCGGAATCCTTCCGCCTCCAAACTATCAGAACATGCTTTAACACTCAACCACTCATTTGATTTTGAAAAAACCTCTATCCTTTCCACGGTCCCTAACCATGAAAAAAGACTCATTTCCGAATCTATCCACATTCACATAGAACACAATCCCGTTAATCACAAAGTAGACAAAAACTGTATTTCTCTTACATATAGACACATTTTAAGTCTTATAAGGGAAAAATAACTTAAATATTCTATTCTATTATTTTCATCTACTCTCAATTTTTATTAATTAATTCATTTAATTGTTCATTATTCTAAATATTGCTTCTTTGTATGATCTCTCTTCTATTTTATTCTAAATTTACATTTACACTCTACACCAATGTATGACAACCCTATTTTTTTTTTTCCCTCTCTATACTAACTTTTAAGTTAGCTCTGCAATGTATGTATGTTAATGAAGTTATTTCTATATTTACATTTTACTTTTTACCAATTTTGGGTTTATTCACATTGTACTCTGATCTGGAATCATGAAATACCTCTCACATCTCTCAACTCTATTTTATATGTATATTTATATATTTATAATTTAAAAATTCATAGATAAACGGGTCAAAACGTTGGCTTTCAATAAAATAGTTTTACCACTATTTAGCCTTTTTATGACCGCAACCCCGGACCATCTCCTTCCTTTAAAAATATTAAAGTGTATTAAGGGTTGTGGGTGGTGTTTTTTTTTTTTTTTTAATTTTAAATGTTATGTATTTTTTTATGTATTATGTAATGCTAAAAATGATTGGTTCATGATAGAGCCTATGTTACATTATTTGGAGAGTATATAATATATAATATATTATTATTTGTATTTACATTGCTGTAGAGGAGGACAAAGATTCCCTGAAACATTCATGAATTGAATGTGTAATATGAATGAGTGATTACATATTAAATTGATCTAAAGGCAAATAATTATGAAAAAATAATAACTATAATACTTAGAAATATAAAAATAAAAATAAATATGATTTTATTTATACTATTTTACATTTTTCTTATTTTTTCTTTATTAATCACAAATCTTTTCTTCTTAGTTAAGGCATATAAATTTGGTTGTAACCTTGGCAGACATAAACAAATAAATTATATTACTGTTTTTTATTTCTGACAGCACCCCATCTTCATCTATTGTCAATATATTTTCATTATTATAATTTTTTATTTTGATCGGTTTTTGTAATATTTTTATTTTTATGTTGATAATTTTTTGAAAATTTTTAATCGATTGTGTTGGTTTTTAATGTTTGTACTGATTGACCTCTATATCCACAGAAATATGTTACTCTCACAATACAGTGAATATCCTTGGGCTGAAATTTATATTTCAGTTATAGTTTTATACTTTAAAAAAAATTGGACAATAATATCCTCATTTTAATTTTAAAATTGAGTCAGTTTTGAAACTACTCACCTTTGCATCCATACATGATAGAATTTGACCCGGCGACCCAGGCTTGTCGAAACGCACTTCCCCGAAACATACTACGTGAGTAGTTTCTGTCATCCCATAGCTGTGGTACATCTTTGCTCCTGGCTGTAGTCTCTCCAGAATGGCTGCTTGTATCTTTGGTAGAACTGGACATGCCCCAGTATATACAGCACGGATAGAACTCAGGCTTTCTGGCTTTATAACTCCATTTATCATTTTGGATAAAAAAGAGGCCACAACATGCAGAAGCCTTATCTATAAAAAATAAATTTAGGTTTTTCTTATTGTACCTGTAAAGAGGTAAAATCAAGTCTATGATTTGTTTTAAGAAATAGTCTTTCAAATTTTCAATTACTTAATTGTCCCTATTCTGCTTCTTAACAGTAATATTAGATGGAAGGAAAACATCTTTACATTAGCTTTTTTTTTTTTTAATACTCACATTTTTAATGAAAATTCAATCAATGTTCTGAATGCATATAGAGATGTTTAATTAATGGAATTTTAATGTATAGAATGGTCATCTGTCTTTCAACTTATACATTAATTTTAAAAAGCTGTTTTATATGTGATTTAAATAGATATAATTATTTGCTTCTTGCAAGAATGCGTTATTTACATTGCAACTGCTTTTAGTATGTCAAAGGAGGAGCTCTGAATTAGCCTTAAGGTTAAGTAGACCTAGATACATAAAGACAGTACCTCATTATTCCCTTGTTCTAGAGCCTTCTAATATTCAGATGTCATTTAATAATAGTAATGAAAAATTAAATATACTAATACAATTTTATGAATACCTAATTTATTTTTTGCCAAGTAACCAAAAAACATAGGATAACTTTTAGGCTTTTTCTAGGATAACTAAAAAAAAATTTAATAATATATAATTGAAAATCTATAATTGATGATCTATTTAACTATCAAAACTTAAAATACATTATTATTTTTCTTGGATATATTTAAAACCATTGAAAGTTACATCAATTGTAAAAATTAATCTCTATCTTAATATATACTTTTCTCCTTTTTATACATTTGAATGTTTTTTTTTTAAGTTGCATAAGCTTTTACATGAAATATAAACTAATCAAAATCCAGTACATTATCAAAATTGTATTGTTTGAAGTTACATGATTCTCTAATTTGACCAACTTTAAAAATTAAACTATTTTATAAAAAAGAAACATTTGTAATTATTAGTGATTTGATGTAATTGCTGTATTGAACTACAATTTAGAATATCATATTTCATGCCTTTAACCATTTTATTTTCTCATTGCAGTTATTTTTCTAGTTATTTGGTTTTTCATTTACCTTGTAAGTAGTAATTACTTGAGAAAACTTCTCTGGAGTAAATTTAGGCATCACAACCAGCGGGGAGCCTTCACAGAGTGCCATCAGCATCAGACCTAATCCGTACGCATGAGAAAAAGGCATCAAGCCTAGTGCTGTTTCACCAGCTTTCATCATTAATGCACTGTAAAGAAAAGAAAAGTTCATGATTTGCTTTTAAACTGTGGATTGTGAGTTATAATTATTTAATAAGGCACTAGTTATTTGAGTTACCAGTGGATTTTTTGTATGGTATATTTAGAAACACTGATTTATGGTTGTTTGATTCACCTTGTTTCTGCTAGTGAACAAATTATATTTGAATGACAGATAGTGACTGCTTTTGGTAAACCAGTTGAACCAGACGATGAGAGGAGAACTGCTGGTTGGTGTTCATTTATAATTTCTTCAGTTTGAAATTTATCAGATTCCTTATCATCCATAATTTCATCCAAAGACCATTTGAAAAGTTTGATTTCAGGGTAGTTTCCTATTGTGCTCAGCTGTTCTGAATTTAGTTCAGGCGCATAGAGTGCAGATGGTTTTGTGATGGATATCGAGTGTTCCAATTCTCCTAAAACATTATAAAAATTGTTGACTTTTAGAATAAAAAGAATACCTCTACAATAAATTATTTTTTTTTGGAGGGAGCTGACTTCATTGTCTGGTAGCACCAATTGTCTAAGGCCGGCAATCTGCCAAATTCATTAATTAAATTAAATTAATGCTTTTAGCTGCATTCAGTTGAACTGCTTGATGTTCTGAACAGATCATATATTTATTTCACTAGACATCATTTGCATCACCATACTTTACAATACCCATTTCATGATCAATTTATATGATTAAATATACATTGTAAAGATTTATGTAGATTATTTTTCAGTAAAATTTTGATCTATAAGATTTTTAAAGTTTCTTTCTTAGATATGTTCACTAGATTTGTTACTTTAATCCAACTGCTTTTTTATTGTTAGCTTTGTTGGTTTTTGAAGGTCATATAAAAGTACAATAACATATATATATATATATATATATATATATATATATATATATATATATATATATATATATATATAAAGCAACATCCTATAACATCACTATTATTTAATATTATTAGGTGATATAAAATAATAGTGACACAATAAAATACAGCTAGTATTGGGTTAAATTGTTATTTAAAAAAATATCCTTAAGATATTTATAATATTTTAACAATATATTTTTTTTTTTATAATTCATTATGTGATTAACAGATATGACAGAAACAGATTTTTAGCCTTTTATTTTATATTTTTCACAGACGATTCAAGCAATCATAACAACAGAAGGTAAGTCCAAAAAATATTAATTTTATAAAATACTATTTATCTAAAAATGTTGTTTGTTACTTATGGTTAATTTTAATGTTAATTTATTTATCAGATTTCTTTTCAATTCCAAGGATATAGAGGAATTATGTGAGAAATTTTCTCATATTTTCATTATTACCTAAAAAAAATTCAAAAGTGGATTTTTCACTCTTTTTAACTCAATTTTCTGTCATTTCAAGCATCTAATTACAGCAAAGTGTCAGTTACCCAGGCTTTAATGATCCATCAATCATCTGGATTAATCTTGTTTAATTTTGATAATTTTTTTTTTTCACAAAATAGGATCTGGTTTGTAACATTTTCTCTGTTCAAAACTTGAACCTTAATCTGAAAACTGACGTCTTAATTTGATGTATAATTTTTATAGAATAAACATATTGGAGTTTATTGAGTATTCAATACTAATTTTAGTTGTTTATAAATACAAATCCCAAGAAATCTCAAATTAAGGGTGTTCAATACTTGCGGATCCAGGATTTAATACTGGGAAGGGGCTTCAGCCCGAAAGCTTTTTTTCATAAAAATAACGATAATTACTTCAGAAAAAAAGAAAGAAACTGACTATCTATATGAAATGGTGTTTAAGTGATTCTTAAAGTCCTTTTAAATGTAATTATATGAACAATAATACTTTACGAGATAATTTTTTTCCATGAAACCAGGTTATATCTTACCATTTTGGGAGGTCGAGGCTTCAGCCTCTAAGTTCCCCCCTCCCCCATAAATCCGCCCATGCTGTACAATGATATAGCCAGTTCTAATTTATGGCAGTGTCGGCAATGCTGAACACTAAACAGCATCCTAGAAAAAAGTATTGAAGATTTGAGAAAAAAATCCTCTACACAATAACCGGAGGGTTCTAGGATCAGAATACTAACACATGGAGAAGAAAAACCAATAAAGAACTGTTTACACATGCTGGTCAACCAATATTCCCTGATATAAAGGCAAGGAGGTTAAGATAGGTGGGACATGTAGCTTGTAGCAATCCTTTATATCTGGAAGCCTCTATGTACAATGAATGCCTAAATAGAAGGCAAAAGAACACGTGGAAAAACAAACGCAGATGGATAGATAGAATAAACAAAGATGTGATAGAGCTGCATGCAGATAACTGGCAAGAAATAGGATGACAGGCAGAGATGGAGCAAGCTTGTTAAGGCGGTAAAAGATTTACAAGACCTGTAGTGCCAACAGAAGAAAATAAAAAATGAATATAAATATCTTTAAAATACACTACCTATACTGTAAAGTAAATTGTATTTAATTATATAACCTAATCCAATGATTAAAATAACTAGTTGTTTAATTTTAATTTTCTATTTCTGTAGCATAGATTTTGAGTTTGGTTCTTTTGAATTTAAATGTTGGCACTAAGTCAAGTTCATACATCCAAGTTCTAAGAACTCCAATTGGCCCTAAGCATAATTATTTTGATTCATCTTTTGATATTCTAGGATATCGTTCAATTCTCTATAATCACCTTTCTTATTTTCTCAGTCTGGGTTTGAATGTTGTGTATCATACCCAGATATTTTATAGATTTTTTAAAGTTTAATTAATTAAACTTCCCAACATTACAATGGTTAAATATTTAAATTAAAATACATTATTTATATCCTATGTTATTATTTTTTTTAGTTGGAGTTTTTCCTCTTTCTAATTATAATTACATTCAGTATCAGGAGATGTCTGGCATTGATTAGTTGGAGTAATCAGTACATAATTTTTAAACTAATTACTTAAGTGGATAATGATGCACCAGCAGAGGAAATACAGGGAGTTGCAATGTATATCTATTTAAACTGATAAAACAGCAGAGGAAATACAGGGATAAACTGTAACAGGGAAATGCACTTTAGAATATTAACTTTATTTTTAAAAACCAAATATTTTAATTAGTATTATTTTTAATCAACTTAAAGTTTTATATATTTTTTTACTCCATTATAAAATACTCAAAATTGAGAATAACAAGATTTGCTGTAAGAAGGCTTATTAGGATAAAATATCTACAAGAAAAAAGGGCTTTTGTTTAGTAGATTCATTTTTATTTATTGGTACAGGATAATTCTTTTTTTAGGTTATTTTAACTCTTGATTCAGTACTCTACACTTTGTTATTTTCACCAAATGGCTCAAAGGGTTATTATCGTTTAAAAATAAAATAAGCTGAGAGTAATTACCGCATTATCAGCACTAATTAGCCTTTTTAGGGAGCATATTAATTTTATAAAACTCTGAGTTTTAAGGAAAACAGGTTTTTAAATTTTATTTAGAAATTTTAAAGGCCATTTTAAGCCTCTTTGAATCGTTTAGTTTAATAAAATTCTCCTGTAATTCATTTAATTTACTTTCGGCTGCTTTAAATTACAGAGTGTAATGGCTAATGTATTTAACTCAAGATTTGTTTATAATTTTCTAAGGTTTTATTTATGTTTTTATATCTTGCGGGATCATTATTAATGATGCTCTTAACAAAGATAACAAATAAATAAAAGGCGTAGGCAGGAAAGCTCCATCACAAATGTCCCAATTTCATCTCATTTTTATCTGAAATACAGATGAAAAATGATTAAATTGTTTTATACATGCTCACCTGAAGGAATTAAATAGAATTTCTGAATATTTTCTAATGTTCTGTTAGTGAAGTTTTGAATTTATGAAATTTTTCCAAATTCAATTGATCAAAATGGCAGGGGAAGGAAACATAGGCAGCTTGTATAGAAAGGTAACTTAAACCCCCTAGCCACAGCTAGTAATATTAAGTAATATTAGCTAGTACTATAAGCTATAATAATAAGCTATAATATATAAGCTAGTAATATTAATATTAATATTCGGAATATTAAGTCGGAGCTGCTAACGTGTATTTTTGATACTGTAAAATAGGAATAAATAATTTCAACAGTTATAAGCTTGCTTTACAACATGTGCCCCGTTTCGGTGTCTATGACAATAGTGGATCCAGGATGTAATTTTGGTGGTGTTTCAGCCCAAAATTTATATATATATATATATATATATATATATATATAAAATGATGATTATTTTGGTAGAAAAAGAAAGAAACTAACTACCTATATGAAATGGTGTTTAAGTGATTCTTGAAATCCTATTAAATCTAATTACACGAATGCTAATACTTTTAGAGATATTTTTCTCATGAGACATGGTTATATTTTATCATTTATGTTTCAGCCCGAAAGTCTCTCCCTTTGACATTTTTTCGCCCAGAAAACCTAGTGTCAACCATGGTATGAAAAATAATTGAGAACCCCAAGAGGCATTTCTGTGATGGCGTATCACAGGATTACTGCACGGTTTTTTTTTTCTCATTACCGTCCAAAGACGAAATGCAAAGATAAAATTATCCTCCTACCTCCGGGGTACTACTTTGCCTCGTATCATTGTTTTAAATTCCTTCCTATGTGTTCTAAAAATGGCATGGATACCATAAATAATTTAATAAAGATTTTATTTTTTTCACTGGTGTAAAGAGTTTCCAGCATATCGGTTTATTCTCAGAGCTCCAATGAATTGAATGGTACCTATTGTCGTTAGTTACGCCATTGTACTTCTGCATCTTTAATTTACATGTTAATTTTCAAATCTCCAACTTCATTTGGAAGGACAGTAGATTAATATTAAATAAAATGACGGGGAGGGAGAAAATAGATCAAGAAACTATTCATTTAAACCAATTTTAACGAAATTATGTTCGTTAGTGTAAACATAGCTCAATGTTCACGCCGCGTCGTACTGATTTTAATAATTCGAATAACAATTGAGTATAAACTTTATTTTTATTTTATTGGTTCCCTCCAAACAGAAAGTTTCATTATTTCTATCTCTCCTTTTTATTTTTATTTATTTATTTTTTTTTTCAGTTGTGGGTCTGTATAAACTTGCATATCGGATCAGATTAATTTGTGATATTGACGATAACCTGAACAAGAGTTATGAATTATGGTATTGTGCTGATGATGCAGGGCTGAGGGTTTTTTCCCTAGAAGGATTAATGGCTCTAGAAGGGATAATCTTTTGTCGATAGCTTTTAATCTTTAAAGTGACTCTACTTCCACAGGGAGAGAAAGAGAAAAAAATATGAATTGTTCCTGAATGATATATGTGGCAATAAATTTTCTCTGTTTTAAAATTTTATGAGGTGTATTTCGGCACTTCCAACCTCACTAGAAAAAGGGAAGCCCTCTGTAAGGTATAGGGGGGTTCAACAGAAATAAGAGATTAATCTTCATGACATTTGAATCAACAATCAATAAATATGTAAAGTCAAATTTAGTTAAAAAATGGGGCTAATTTTTTATTTTAAACACGTTGGTTATTAACTCCATTGTTCATTTAGGCATAAAGAGAGGCCATTGAAAGTGCAGTCAAACTAAATAGTGCATCTTTGACTAAAAACCACATCATTGAAATAGGAAAATATATATATTTTATTGTTCTATATTTGTTTTTACGATTGGTCTGACGCAAATACCGAATCAATCTAAATATATTCTCTTTTCTAAGTTATAACACGTGTACTTCTGTGTTTCACAATGTAAGCACGTGTCAAGTAATAATATAAATATTTTATTCCCGAAAGCATTGTTGCTCCTGTAATTAAATTACCATTATTTAAAAAAATAAGTGTAGGCAGCCACTCTTCACCTCCCCCCCCCCAAAAAAAAAAACAAATACTAAAACGGCTACTTCACTCATGTGTAAACTCGCCTTTTCAGTTTATCAATTTGCAAGGTATTATAATTATTATTATTTTTAATTGTATTATTCTGCAACATTTCATAAAAATAATTTTAATTGAATTGCTGAATTATTGAAAATTTGTTATTTTTTTTCTTTTCAATTGTTACTAATAAATTGGAAGATTGTTTCTGTTAATTGTATTTTGGTTGACTCCAAGTTCGTTTGTGGCTTTATTGTGATTTTAAGAATTTTTTATTTAATGACTGTAATTTAGAGCGAATAAGATTCATGTGATCGAAAAACCCAAAATTATTTTGCAAAAATAAAATTATTGTATGTATATATATAGTACCTTTTTATTGTTTAAACCTTCTCGTTCTAACGATCGTTTTAATATGTTTGCACAGATATACAATATTAAATTTATTATTTATTGTCAGAACCAAGCCTCGAGCCTCACTGAGTATGGGTGATGGAATTTTGCCTATTATCAATTCAGGCAAATCAGAATTTTCTATTGACAACAATAAAAACACATTGTATAACATAGATAGCATATCTCATTTTAACAATCTACTGTAATTAATTCAATAGTGATAGCAATTAATTGATGTTCTGCATTTCTGTAATATTTCAATCTTTTAATAATTTTTCTTTTCTGTTAGCATTACATACCATGTAGATCTTTTACCGCCTTAACAAACCTGCTCCATCTCTGCCTGTCTTGGGCTATTTCTTTCCATTTATCTGCATGTAACTCTATTGCACCTTTGTTGATTATATGTATCCATCTGCTTTTTGGCCTTCCACGTGTTTGTAATTTGTTGTAGTAAACGGCCAATAGATATCTAATTACTTAAATATAACATATCTAGAGTTATTAAACTACAGTAAATGAACTATATTTCACTTCTTCTTTCACAAAAGTACAATGAAATAGTATTTTAAACAATGGGATTGGCTTGATTCGGTGGATTTTAAATTTTTATTCTTCAAATTTAGAAAAAATTTAAAATTTTACATTTAGTTAGAAAATTTCATTTTATTTCCTTGGAAACACGTGTTGTACGTTAAATAATTAGTTTTCTGAAATTATTAAATATATTTTTTTCGTCACTCTCCGGTACCTTCTACAACTTTATTTATTTGACATTATTCTTTCTAAAATTCTCCGCTTTCCAACGATATATTATACGTATACCTTCTGACTGTTATTTCCGGAGATTCATTTTCGACCTGGATAAGCATGTTTTTTTTTTTTAACACTTCCGGTTATCCGATTTTAAGGAAAATGTTGCTGTTACATCTAAGGCATATACTTATCTTAAATACGTAATATCAGTCTCATACGACTTTTCGTTTTCGAGCTAGACTGTTCGCACACATAATAGACTCACAGACACACAGATACATACCATTTTGCGGGACTTGGTTATTTGGACTTAGTGGATTTCAAAACTTGTATTACCGTTCAAAACTCAGGGTAAAAAATTTTCACGATCGCAATACTTTCCCTTAATATATATATATATATATATATATATATATATATATATATATATATATATATATATATATATATATATATATATATATATACAGGTAAGTGTAACAAAAAAACAAATATTTATATACAAATTAGTTTAACTGTTATAAATTATTACTAAACAATATATTTGAAGAACTGGCTGACTTTAATAACAAAATTAGAATTATATAAGTATATAAAAAAATATCAAAGTATGAATAGTCTAGATAAAATAGTTTAAAAATACAGCACATAAATGTAAATGAAAATAAACACTTATTAAGAAAAAAATGATATATACGAGTATATCATAATATATAAACATATAAATATATATCATATATATAAGCGACTAATTATGTGTTTATGATAAAGTTTCTAATACTAAGGATTCAATCTATATAGTGTTAAATTCTTTCCACTATTGAAAACTTTGCTGTTGACAATAATTCTTTAACCGAGTACTATTTAGTGTTGCCGAAAATCGGTCTTGGTCTTCAACTTTTTAATACCAAGACTAAGACCGCCTCACTGTTGCAAGACCAAGACCAAGACCAAGACTGGTAGAAAAAAAATCGATTTTTAAAATAAAAATTAAGGCAAAATAGTTACTAATGCTTGACAATTTTAGTTACTATATGTGAAGAATTGGTATAACCAATACACTTTTGCATTTAACTCTTCTAATTTTTCATTCGGGCTTAGTTAGGTTTCCCTTATCTAATAAAATACAGTAATGTCTCTATAGTACTCAGCTAATAGGTAACTGCAAGACCATTGCGAGACCTTTCCACAAGACCAAGACCTAGACCAAAACTGAGTTTGCAAGACCAAGACTCATCTCGGTCTAGCATTTGGGCAACACTAATACTATTAGACTGTATAATGTTTGGATAGTGGATGGTATCGTCTGTGATCTTTATATATCGTTCAAACAATATTTAAGTGAAACACGTCTTCAAGAATTTTAGAGTTACATACTCACACTCATCAATTGGTTTAATTATGAGCCTGATTTAATGATAGCTGTTTTAGCGATAGACAAGTTTTGTTGTAAATCTATCGATTTTTGTGATTTTATTTTTTATGTTTGGCTCACATGCATCATTAAAATGTAAAAATTCACATACTCGGTCTAAGGGAAGTAGGGTACAGAGCTGCAATGGCGCCTGCCCTAAGGATCCCCAACAGTACCCCGACGTACTCCAACGAGTTCTCCGAGCAGAGTGCCACCACCGAACCAGGGCCGAAACCTGCCGACTGGACCTTCCAGGATACCGTCTTAACCATCTGTCTGATATCTGAGCAAGAGATGGTCTTACCGCTCGTGGAGTCGATCTGGAAACGAAAATAACTTTTGAGTACTACAGCATAAATTAAGTGACTTTTATTACCATACCTATCCTTCGCCTTTTACAAGACGAATGGGCCAGAAAGTGGGCAGCAAAAAAAAAAAAAAAAAATAGGAGAGGAACGAGGTATTTGTCAAATAAAATTCAATAAATTAAGGCCGCAGCCCCACCGTTATCTCTGGTTCTTTCCCTTCAAGGGTAATTCGTTTTACTAATTGGTCATTCCCAGAAGGGAAACTCACTAATTTACCAGGAAAAATAAACTTTTTTTTCCGTTTGACAACCCTCATCGATAGGTTTCTCCATTGGAATAATCTATATTTATCTTAACATGATTAAAAGTAGGAATCCAGACGATTTGAATATATTGAACAGATGCTTAGAGTTGAGGATTGAATAATATGCCAATTCTTTTTCATATTTATTTTAGTGGTGGTAAATATGTAATGAAATGTAGTGGCAACTTTCGTGGGTAAAACAATATTGTTTTAATTCCCAGGTTCGAGTCTAGATGCTTTGAAAATTAATTTTTTTAAAACCTAAAAATGGGTCTTTAGTTTCCATATTATATGTATTTTCTTATCACATAAATCTTATATGGATCAGATTTAGATGACCCTATAGAGAATTGGCTTAGAGATTAAATTTGAACAAAGTTTAAATACTTCTTGTAGAAATCTTTACTCAATTTTGCATTTACCCTAAGGAAAAAAATATTTGTATTTGTTGTAGGAAAATAAATTTTATGTATGTAAGAATTGAATTTTTTTTTTACAAAAGAGCATGAAAACTGATTATTTCAAAATGATTTATTAGTATAATTTCGTATTTTATTTTTCTATAGTATTTTCCATAGTAGCATACTATTTATTGCAGTTTTAGACTACAAAATGTTACCTTTAGCACAAATAGAATTAATTATACATTCAAATATGAACTGTGTAGTTATTTAAAATATATATATATATATATATATATATATATATATATATATAATATATATATATATATATATATATATATATATATATATATATAATGTACTAAATTGAATTTGTATGAAGTTTTTTTAGAAGAGCTTTAAGATGGTGAGACGCCCGAAAAATCGCAGATGTTAAGGAAATACTATATAAAGTATAATAAATATTGAAAATTTGATTCAGCCAAAATAATTTTTATTTATTTATTATTTTATAGGGAGCGAGGTAAGTCAGTGGGTGAGCACTGACTTCCAGAGCTGAAGGTCCTAGGTTTAAATCCGGCTGATGGCTAGTCATTTTTCATCAGCAATGGGTCGGCCCTGAGGCCGAGGGATCCTCCTGGGGCAAACACAGCCTCTAAAAAGTGGGTACTTTTAATTAAATAATTAATTAGTGGGGAAAACCGTGCGGTTGAGCGTGATATTGTCCCGTCACCTCTTTGCCCAACCGTTGTCCTTGTAACAATACTTTCTCGCGTAGTACTGAACCCAAGACCATTTATGGGTTGTTAGTGGTACAGATTTTTTTTTTATGTTATTATTTTATATTTTTTTTATATAAGATCTCCGAAATTTACCATCTTTTAAAAAATTTTCTTTACCTTTAATTATACTGAAGCACTCTTGCTCAATCACCACTGGATTTAGCCCCAGTGACGCGATTGAGAGAGAAGTGTAGGGATCTCCTGGAGTCATGCTTTTCCCTTCACAGTTGGAGGGACAAGTCTGGTTTGGAGTTCTCTCGCCAGATTGTAAATATTGTATGTAGGTATATGTGTGTTCTTTTTATTTATTTATTTTTAGGTTATTTTATTCTTATTTATTGTATATATATTATTTTTCTGTATAATTTATTTTATTTATTGTACATAGAGTGTGAATGTGATCTCTGGGCACTATTATAAATGTTCTTGGGACAGATTGTAATATTTTTCAATAAATAAGTTTAAAAAAAAAATAAGAATTATACTGTGAAATATATCATTTGGCCCTCTATCTTTTATATCTAATAAAATTATTCCTCGGGTTACAACCCAAAATTTTCAGTTAAATTAGTATCTTTTTATTAAAAATATAACAATATATTTTATTGTTATAACAATTTAAAAAAATAAAAAGTAATGTGTTGTAATTAATAAACAAGTTTTACCAGAATGACCTTTTATTATAAAAAAGTGAAGGACTCATAAATTTTTAAAACTCATATAAATTAGAGGTAGCTAGAAAGGAAGGGTTTTAAATTGAGGACAACAAAATGCGAAGTATACACTTTCTGTTGGCCCAGTGCCTGCTCCAGAACTATTAAGATTAAAACAATAGGGGAGGGGGGAGGGAGATGGGAGGTTAAAATGGTAGAATTTACTTTGTGAGAAACTTAATGAATTTTTATTATTATAAGATTTTTTCCGACAAATGTATACAAATATCATTGCTTAAACCGGTTAGAGATTTATGTAAACTAGTGTGTGGTAGGGATTCAACTACAACCATTATTGGAATATTAAAACATATATCAATTTGTACTTTCCAACATTTTCTCTCTACTCATATACCTACATTCGTTAATTGCGAACATACACTTTTATATCTACTTACAATACAAAACCGTTGAGAACCATTAGTATACATTTTTAGTTTTTCGCAAATTCCGAATTCTGAATCCATCGTTTTTGGGCCTCTTATCGGGGAAGTATGTTATATACATAGATTAAAATGGCTTACAGGAGAATACTTTAGCTAAATTTCATTAAAGAAGACACACGCGTTAGCCCGCTCGGCCACCCCGCACTTTAAATTTAATATATTGATTTTATTGTTTGCGTGTTGAATCAGTTGATAGTAATAAAATATTGTTCCACCTCTGTTTCCTAAAACCCATCCCATCCCCTCCCTCGCAATCGGCAATAAACTGGAATGAGCTGGTCAGCCGGCACCGATAATGACTACTCGCGGGACAGATGAAGCCATCAGTTCCCCATCGGTCCTCGCTGAGTGCTCTGTGGTGTTTGGGGATCATGTTTGATGTCGTCCGCTTTTACAAACATGCATTACCAACACAAACACATCATTCACTAGTTTGTAAAGATTAATTTTTACTTAATTTATTCGGTAATTCTGTCAGATTGTCGTTTAAGGTAAATTTCTTTTCTTTTAACGACCATTTATCGTATTTTTAAATATTTATATTTAAGAAACATCCATTTATGTACAAAATGTACTTTTTTAAATTTTATATATTTCCGATGAATGGTTGAGTGGTGTGAACGGAATCCAAATTGATGTTGAGATAACATGTTTTTAGTAGTTTTTAGTATGTTAAGAAGTCGTTTGTAGAGAAGTTTTTAAAAGATTTTAGAGTATAATGGGAGCTAGATGGTGTGTCTGTATGATGAAGGGAAGTCGGTGTTCTTGTTAGGTTGGTGAATCATTGTTATGAATGAATATGTTTACAATTTATTTCCATTGTAAGGAGAATTTAGTCGTTATGAGTATTGCGTAATAAATTGATGTTAGGTACATTAGAGCTTTCCTTAGTATTTTCAGCTACACCGAGTCACGGACTACATTGAGACATCACTTGAGCACAAATTATATGCAACAGGATTATTTCTGGATGTTGCTCAAGCGTTCGATAGAGTCTGTCATCAGGGAATTCTTTTCAAAGTTAAGACGATCCTCCCTCCAACCTAGTATCTTATCCTTCAATATTTAATTTCTGACAGATTTATCTCTGTTTGCCAAGATACAGAACTATCTACTCTTAATAGTTAGGTTTGAATCAGCCTTAACAGGAGTGGGTCAGTAATCGCTCCTCTGTTCTATATCATTTAAACATATGATATTCCAGATTCTGTCGATACTATGACCGCGACTTACGCAGACGATACAACAATCTTGACATCAAAATTCAACATACGCTTCACAGACTCTACAATATCACTTAAACAAATTCTACGACTGGTGCAAACTCTGGAAAATTAGACTCAACCAAGACAAATCACTACATATCATATTACCCTTCGTAATATGACGTGAAACTTGCCCTGCTATTTACCTTGACAATATCCAAATTCCTCGGACAGAGAAACTTAAATATCTTAAACTCACCTTCGACAGAAGAATGACAAGGGGCCCACATATCAACAACTATAAACCTATGACTACGACTATTGTACTCACTCCTTGAAAGACATTCAAAATTAAAACTTAGAGAAAAATTGAATACGTATACTTACCTACTTAAGCCCATTTGAACCTACGCTTCACAGATATACAGGACAGCCAAAAAGACTCACAAAAGCAAACTGCAGACTTTTCAATGAAAAACTTTCTAAACTATCACCAAGGCGCCCTGGTACGTCAGTAACATTGCTTTACGCAAAGACCTATAGATGCCAACAGATAACGACCACATATGAATATACTACAAAATATTTCATAATAACTGCAACACGGACATACCAACTCATTGATTCGAGGCACGGAAACATCTAACATGCCCGATACCACCCTACGGAGACTTAAAAGAAGCTGGATGAGGGATCTTCTCTACTAACTATAAAAATATTAAATTCAAGATAGGAAAGACGCCGCTGGACACTCCTCTCTCTCACGTCTATTTCAAGACCTATTAATCTTCTAAATCTCGACATCCACACTCGCTGATTGTCGGAACTACTAACAGGAGTCAGTTGAAAAAAATAAGTTAAAAAAAAGTATATATATCCAAAATTATTTACGAAATGTTTTTATTTTATGAATTTTTTAGGGAAGTTAGTCGACTGTTCTACGTATCATAGATGATAAATAGTCAGAACGGAGTCATTTTTAGGTTTGTGTTGGTGCCGACGTTTCAACCCCAGCATGTGGGTCATCATCAGGGCGTGTTTCAAGCACTGAAGGTATTCAAGTACTGAAATATTTTCAATTTGAATACCTCCAGTGCTCGAAACACGTCCTGATGATGACCCACATGGGGGTTTGTTTGGGTTGAAACGTTGGCACTAATAAAAACCTCAGAAATGACTATTTATCAACAGTGTTTTTATTTTATAGAATATTTCAATTGTTTAGTTGAATCTCTCAAGGATTGTTATGACCACAGCCATCGTTCATTTGTCTACATTGTATATATAAAAAAAAAAAAAATAGAAATCCTTCATTCACTTATAAAATATGATTTTAATATTTTTTTAAGTCAATTTGAAACGAAATGTTTTAATTTCGTAGTAGAATTCAAACGTTTAATTAAATGTTTCAAGGATTCTTATTAAAAAAAATCCTGGATCATTTATGTTAATTTTAAATATAAATATTTAAGAAACATCCATTAACTTATTAAATATGATTTTTTTATTTGTATTTATTTTCCTCAATTCGTTAAAAAATGTTTTTATTTTATACAATATCTAAATTGTTTGATTAAATATCTCAAGGATTCTTATTTCCGAGATTCACAATCGTTTGTGTAAATAAATAATATAATATAATATAACTAAAAAATAATATAAATATTTAAGAATCATGCATTAAATATGAATTTTGTTATTTATTTTATTTTCGAGATATTTTCAATAATTTATGTTTACTGACAGTTTTTATTTATTATTTTTTTTATTACAGTAAATATTTACAACCATTTCTATAATATCGTTTCAGATTTATGAATGTCTTTTAGATTTATGAAATCCTGATGAAAGTATTCTTTTATTTTATGGTATGCTTATTTAAAAAAATATTAATGTTTTTTTATAATTCCTAAGATAATTTTGGAATTGTATATTTTGGTTCAAAATTACATGGAAAAAACATTTAATAAATATTTAACTAGTATATCGTTATTTTAAATATTTAATTATTATTTTCATATCAGGCTGAAACCACAAGAAACCGCTTGACGTTTCCGATTACTTCAGCACTCGCTAGACAAACGCTCTAAACTTCCTATTAATTACAAAAGACTCATACACATGACCATAACAAGGGCCTATTTGGACTTCCGGAGTTGAGCTTTTGGGCTCCACTAAACCATCGAATTCCTATCGTATCCAATCCTTACAATCCAAAATCCTCAATGCTCCCTACTTTGTTACAAATAAAACCATCCATAATGAACTGAATGTTTTTTATGTTTCAGATCTAGCCCAATCCAGATACCTATCCTTCCATAATAAACTTCAGAATCATCCCAACCCTCTCGTTTCTAACCTTGCTTCCTCTTCAATTCTATTTAACCCTCCGAGGCGTCTGAAAAGAAGATGACCTCTTGATATCCTACTGTAGACATATTATTAGAGTACTACCATTAGGTAGTTTCTCAAGAAGTGTTTTCATGTCATTATATCCATATGTTCAAATTTACTAAATGTATTTCTTTAATACAGTTTTAAATATCATTAAGAAATAAAAAAACAAATATTATTTTATTATCTGCAGTCTTTTACACCTTTAAAAGGAATAGTTTTTGATAGTAAGTAAAAACACGATGATAATTATTTAAATAATTTACCGTTTGTAATCATAATTCATACAGAGCTCCCACCACGTTTACCACATCTGTAGCATTTCTTTTCCTCTATCATTATTTTTTCCTCTCCCTCATTTATACACCCATATATAATGGTAATATTTGCACATTACTTGTTACTTTAACTAATTATAAAAAAACATTTTAATACCAAGTTGTAATACGGATTTATCTACATTTGTTTCTAATTGTTAGTTGAATTGAAAATGTAAGTACCAGAGATTATCCATCTCTGAATAACTTGAACTGAACCTTTTCAGTTCAACTTAATGTTACATTTTATGACACGTTTTTGAAAAGTTTCAATTTTAACAGTTTCTATAAAACATTTGAGGAAAAAACGTTTTTAAAATAAAAATTCTAAAGAACGTTTTTGAAATAAAGTTTTGGGTTTGTAGATGAAGTTTAATTATTACTTATTTGACTTCTGAAAAAAAGTTAAGTTAAATGAGAAATAAAAAGTACTTGCGCTTAGATTAGATTAGTAATTTATCTTAAATGAATTACTTGATTCTATTGCTCCACGCTGAGAGGCACAAAGGAGGAAGGAAAAGAAGAATATTCTATTGTATCATTTTTTTGAATAGCTGAGAATAAAAGTAATTTTTTATATAGACTTTCTGCAGAAATCAATACAACATTTTAGTAAGAGTTTAAAAAAAAAAAAAAGTTCTGTAAAGCGATAACTTAAAAAATTACCGAGTTCCGGGTTAGTTAATAAAAACATATTCCATTCATTTCAAAACTGTTTCATTAAAAAAAAAAAAAAATCATTTCGAGCCCTGGTAAAATTTTGACATATTTTTGAATATCAAGACTCAAAAAAGGTGGTAATAAAACATGGCTGATTTCATACCGCAGTTGATTCTAAGGCTGTAGAGAATTTTTTTAAAATTCAATTCTTTATATTAAAAAAGTATCTCCTAAAGTATTATTGTTCGTATGATTAATATTAAAAGGGCTTTAGGAATCACTTAAACACCATTTCATACAGGTAGTTAGTTTCTTTCCTTTTTTGCAAATTAATTATCGCTATTTTTATGGAAAAAAAGCTTAGGGCTGAAGCTCCCCCCTCCCAACAAAAAATTAAACCCTGGATCCGTTAGTGCGGTTGAGTGAGAGGCACTGCGATCTCCTAGAGTCCTACCTTTCCTTACACGAGTGAGAAGAAAGACTTAGCTTGGAGTGCTCCTGAATAAATGAATTTTGTTAATATTGTATGAAAGTATACTTCTATTTTTTTTCTTATTTTGATTATTTTAGTTTCTTTTTGTATATATATATTTAAACTTAACTATTTAATTGGGAATTATATCACTTATTAATTATTTAATAAACCATTGAATGTTCATTTCTTCTATTTATTGACGTCTCGATCCCGGTATTATCTTTTTATTATTCAACCATGGGATCCTCTTCACAGCTAGAATTTCAAAAAAATAGAGCTTCGATCAGGCCAGGGACACACCGACAGTCTCAGCACCGCCCACTAGCATATATATTAAGCTACTGTTATTAACAGTATAGTTACATATATTAACAGTAGCTTAATTAATAATTAATAAGTGACCAAATTCCCAATTAAATAGTTAAGTTTAAATTTAATACTGAAAGGTCAATTAAGGAAAAGTTGTAATATATATATATTAATTAATTTAATTAATTGACAATATATATTGTCAATTAATTAAATTAATAAAAAGAAGTAATAATAACTCTATAACTAATAAATAATAGTGCAACACTTTATATATATATATATATATATATATATATATATATATATATATATATATATATATATATATATATTTAATTTAGTATAATTATTTTACTGATTGATTGTAATATTCCTCAGTGAATAAGTTTAAAAAAGATAGTGTGAAAATATCAACTCAGGCTCCGAAAAATTGATTGGGATTAGGTAGTAGCGTTGTTTGAATTGTTGCTTAGCTGAATATTTAGCTAGTACTGGTGTTATTTTCAAATCATGTAAATATTTACCATGCGTCATATAAAATATTTACAATGCACATAAATGGATGATATATCTTATATTTTGTGCATGTATTTGATATATCGCTCATGTTAGTACAAAAGGTAACTTCATTACATGCTATTTGTGCTGAAGGTATCTTTTTGTAATCTGCAACTGCTATAAGTAATCTGCTACTATGGAAAATAGTAGTGGGAAATAAAATATGAAATTATACTTATAAATCATAAAGAAATATTCAGTTTTATGCTCTCAATTTTTCGAAACACACAATTTTTACATATGACCTTTTGCTCTAACAGTATGTACCTGTGCTACATTATCCTGCTTCGACGAAATACAGTCCAGGACGTAATCGGCTGCGTTGGTGTGTACCATCATGGCTGATCTCTTGTTGACGACTGCCGTAGTAAGTTTGAACCTCGCTCCAAGCGATAAGCTCCCATGTGGCATTAGCTGATATCTCTTGTTTCGGTTCAATAGTTCTTATCCTTATTTTTCTAATCTCTTTTGCTTATTTTCACATATTTCACTCCCATTTTATCGTAGAATTCTTCGGATTTCCAGTTTAAATTTATCTGAAGATAAAAACAAAACAATAAAAGCTGGTCTCCGCTAACCACTGGCACGGATTCCATTCCCATTCCACTTATAAATAAATATAGGATAAGAATGTTGTTATTATTGCTAACAAGCCTTCCTGGTTCACTGAACTTTTTTTTTTTCTCTCTCTCTCTATCTTTCTCTTTCTCTCTCTATATATATACAATAGAATAGAAAATAATTTTATTCTGGGACGATGTCCCTTTAGAATAACAAAAAAGTACAAAATTAAAATATTATATCTAACCAAATAAAAACAAACATAAAAAGTAAAAATAAAAAAAAAATAAGTAAAGAAAATATTAGTTAAAAATACTATATATAAAATTTTAAAAAATCTATCTCTTGAAACCATGCCAATACGCTTAAAATTATGCACAGTGGTAAAATATAAATATATACTTTTAGAAAAAATACAAAATACATTACATTCTTCTTGGCAGTAAGCTCTGTGTTTCTGTTGAAAAAACAAAGTCGAATCTGATACTAAGTATTTAAGTGATGAGTTATATGTAAATACATCGTTATGAATAATATGTAATTATACATAAAAGGTTAGCTGGTATCTGATTGTTTTTGGGACAGGAATTGGCATAGGAGGGTTTTAAATGTAGATAGGGAGGAAGTATGCCGAATTTTGATTGGAAGGGAATTCTAGAAATTAACAGAGCGGGCAATAAAGGAGTTTTCGAACGAGTCAGATCTGTGAGAAGGAATGTAAAGGTCGGAAGGTCGAGATCTTGTGGAAAGGGAGTGGACTGAGAACTTAAATTAGAGAAGGTTGTAGGCTTAAAAAGGACGATGATTGTTGATGATTTTATAGAGGAACTTACCTAGGAAATATTGTCTTCGAATGGAGGGGAAGAGCTACCCCACAGCCCGGCAACCTGATATATGAAATGATATAAAACTGTCACGAGATGATAATATAAATGTCACAAGTTCGTGTCCCGGTGCCAAGGCGTCTTTTAAATCCCCGCCCACACCTCCTGGCCCGGGAAAACCACGTATAGCCTTAATGGCGAGGAAGGGGAGGACCCAAAAAAAAAAAAAAAAAAAAAAATATATATATATATATATATATATATATATATATATATATTATAAGAGGAATAGCAGACCTCAAGACCTACGAAAAAAATCGTTTAAACAATGGGCCAATTCTCAGCAGAAAAGTGGGAAATCCAAGTTAAGTGTTTTTTAAAGTAATTCATCCTTTTTGATGAATAGGATAACTGAAAAAGTAACTAGTTTAAGTTATTAAAAATTATTTCACTTTAAACTAGATAAAATTTATCATTTAAAGTGAACTTTTGTGGACTTTGAGACTTTGACTATGACCACTATTGCAAAATAAATATGATAATATTATTATATTAATAAATATGATTGCCTAAATACACTTTTTATTTATAAATACAAAAAATAATAATAATAATGATTTTTTAAAAATTTTTGATGTAAAGTATTTACCAAACTGTTTTTCTCTCAGATCTCTGTGATAGAAATTGGTCCGTATTAATAAGTGACAAATTTAATGTTTAGAAACGACCAGAAACATGAAATTTGTCACTTATAAATAAGTAACAACTCCTTTGACAGAGATCCGGGAGAAAGATACATTTTCGTTAGCATTTTACACAAAAAGTATTTAACAAACATTATTATTATTATTTTTTATTTATTAATAAAAAGTGTAACTAAGAAATTATTTGTATTACGATATATCTCAGATCATGAAAAAAACAATAAATAGAAGCTTTGCAACAGTTAATTGTATGTAGTCATATTTACTGGAAGCAGGAGCACTATTAGATGACTGGATAGACATAATTTATTTACACAACTTGAGATGAATCTCAAGAAGTTGCCTAATAAACTTGCATTTAATTAATATGAACTTGAAGCTTACTAAAATAAGAAGTTTTTCTAAAAGTGGGGTATCTGTTTACAGTGAAACAATTGTTAATTATTTAAATTAAATATTTCTTTAATTATCGTTTTCTATTCATCAAAAAGCATGACTTACTTAAAAAACAAACTAAACTTGGATTTCCTACTTTTCTGCAGAGAATTTTCTAATACTCCTATAAAAATTTCCCTCAACATGTATATATACGACGATGATATCTTAAGTTATATATATAGAATCCCCATACAAGACTGAAACGACATGAAACCGCTCGACATTTCCGACTACTCCAACACTTACTAGACAAACGCCCTAAGCTTTCAATGAATTACAAACGACTCATTTGTATGACTACAATAAGACCTATTTGGACTTACGAAATTGAGCTTTGGGACTCCACTAAACCATCGAATTCCTCTCGTATCCAATGTTTACAATCCGAAATCCTTCGTAAAATTCTCAACGCTCCTAACTTTGTCACAAATAAAATCATCCATAAAGACCTTAATGTTCCATATGTTCCCATTTGGCCCAACCCAGATACATATCCTTCCATAACAAATTGTAGAACCATCCGAACCCTCTCGTTTCAAACCTTGCTTCCTCCTCGATCCCTGATAAGCCTCCGGGGCGTCTGAAAAGAGGGTGGTCTCGTGTAAATTTAATATTTGAGTGTTATCAGTGGGTTGTTTCTCAACAAGCAATTTCATGTTATTATTCCTGGGTGCACGTTTACTAGTTGTAATTTTTTTTTTTTTATAATACAGTTGTAAAAATCAATGAATAAAAAAAAAAAGTTATATATGCAGCAGTTGTCTGCTACTATGGTAAATAGCAAAGGGAAATTAAATATGAAATAATAATTATAAATTATAAGGAAATAATCAGTTTTTGCTCTTCAGAAAAAAAATAAATCAATTTTCCATGTTCATTCTATGCCCAATCTGTAGTGTTCCGGAAACTGTAGAGCACGTGGTCACGACCTGCACCGCGTTTGAAACGTTAAGAGCGACAATGACAAGAGCCGCGGGAATCTATTTCCTCAGTGAAAATGAGTTTCCTCAGTTAGTCAGTGAGGAAAATTTCCCGCGGTTTAAGGATTTCATAAATGGATGAAAGACTGCAGTGGGGCCCGCTCACTCCATATTGGTGCTCGCAGAAGAAGAGAACAAGCGCCAGGAAGACCTCCAGATTCTGAAAGCTGGGCCGAAAGAAGAAGGAAGAAGATAAAACAGAAGAACTATATATGTGCATATCTAGTAGTAGTGTGTTATTAAGTATTATGCCTAAAACACACTATTGCAAACACCCGTATTGCCATTGTGGCATGGGAGGGTGGAAATAAATAAATAATGTTCATTCTATTTATGCTAAATATGAAATTTTGTAGTCTGCAACTGCAATAAGTAGTCTACTCCTTCGAAAATTTCAGAGGAAAATAAAATACGAAATTATACTAATAAATCGTAAAGAATTTATCAGTTTTCAGTTCGGTAAAAAAATTAGAATTTTTACAAACGATCTTTTGCACTAACAGTAGCGATATATGTATATTTTTATTTTGTTATAAGTTGAATATGTCCGGAACGTTCAGGGATCGAACTAAACACACTTTTCCTTTCATGGTAATTTTTATTTTACTATGTGTTTATATCTCATTATAATTATTGTCCACGCGACAGATTATTATATTTCTAAACAAAAAACAACAATTATTATTTTTTTTTTAATGTTTTCTATAGATCGAGTAGTATAAAAAGAAAGAGAAGAATAGAAAAACATATTTTAGTTATGCATATATAGGTATGCATATTATTTTTTTTTGGCTTAGTTTCAATTTTCTTATTTTTTTTTTAGGTTATTTTATTATCTATTGTATATACTTTTGATTATTATTTTGTTTCTATTTATTTTATTTTTTTTGTACATATAGTTTGAATGTCATCCTACCTCACTATAACCAATGACCAAGAGACAGATTGTTGTAATACTCAATAAAGAAATAAAAAAAAGTTATGCATATAAATTTTATCTAACATTTTTTCTTGAAATTTTACTTTACTTCAATTGAGTTTTGATCCTCCATTAAACCATAAATTATTTGCCGTATCCAATCTACTAATCTAAATTCTTCGGTCCCTGCGCTTATGCGACAAGAGATAAACAGAAGGATGAATCGATACGATGCAGATTTGAATGAAATGAAATTTAAGCTGCACAGAAGAAGTTCAGAAATATCGGGCTTCACACCAAGGTTTTGTCGTACAAGATAAGCCTACACTCCCTTACCTTTACAAATGCTTAAGTCTGTTCCGACTTGACTTCATCTCGTTGGTGAAGGTAGCTTTGTCTGCAGCTAGAGAATAGCAGAAGTTGGCTAATCTTGGATGTTTGGGTACAACTTGTTGAAGGTAGGTCCCTGATCCATCTACGCAAGGTGTTGTCATCGAATTGATGTTTAATAATACAAGATGTTAGATTTTAGGCATAGATTGTGGGGATTCTTGGAAAAACCTTGACGAATAATTTATCAATAACAAAGATAAAATACATTACTAATGTTTGCAAACTTTTTGCATTTGGGTTATGTATTAATTCTTCATTAGATAAATTATTTTTATTAAGTCGAAGTTTTTTTGTTTTATCCTAAAATTAGTTAGATAAGAATTTTAAAATGTTTTCTACTTCTTATAAGTTACATAATGAGAACAAAGAACATTTTTGAATAGTTTATCATTCAATCCTAACATATTATACCTCGCATGGAGATTCCATTTAAAATATAAAACGTTTACACAGCGTCAAGGATAATTATATTGTACTGGTACACCGCAGTGAGAACTCTCCACTGGCTATGCATAGCTCCCGTTCTCTCTAATGCATTTGACGCATATTACGTGAAATCAGCTTAACATGTATATTCGTATACACCATATAA